TTGGCTGTTTTCCAATCTGTGGGAACCACCCCAGAGTCCAGTGAATTTTGGTAAATAATTACTAGTGCATTTGCTATGTCCCCCATCACCTCTTTTAGTACCCTGGGATGCATTTCATCAGGGCCAGGAGACTTGTCTACCTTTAGCCCCATTAGCTTGCCCAGCACTGCCTCCTTAGTGATAATGATAGTTTCTAGGTCCTCACCAGCTATGACCTTCTTGCCATTAGTTTTCGGCATGTTATTTGTGTCTTTCACTGTGAAGACTGACACAAAATAACTGTTTAATGTCTCGGCTATTTTCTCATTCCCAGTTATTAAATTGGCCTTCTCATCCTCTAAAGGACCAATGTTTACCTTCGCCACTCTTTTACGATTTACATATTTATAGAAACTTTTGCTGCCTGTTTTTATATTCTGAGCTATTTTACTCTCATAATCTATCTTAGTTTTCTTTATAACTTTTTTTGTGACTTTCTGTTGGCCTTTAAAGATTTCCCAGTCTACTAGTTTCCCACTACTCTTTGCTTTTTTGTATGTGTTTTTTTTCCAATCTGATACTTTCCTTTATTTCCTTGGACATCCATGGCTGGCTGGCTCTTTTCCTACAGTTCTTCCTTATCACTGGAATATACTTCTGCTGAACACTGTGAAAAATTGTTTTGAAAGTCCTCCACTGTTCCTCAATTGACCCACCATAAAGTTTTTGCTCCCATTCTACCTTAGCTAACTCCTCCCTCATTCCTTCATAGTCTCCTTTGTTTAAGCACAGGACATAGGTACTGGATTTAACCTTCTCACGGTCCATCTGTATTTTAAATTCGACCATACCGTGATCGCTCCTTCCGAGAGGATCCCTAACTGTGAGATCATTAATTATTCCTGTCTCATTATACAGGACTCATTACACTTATTGCTGTGGGATCTTGTCACCACACAGTCCGGAAAAATTCCAAGGTATTTTCCTCAGTTCCCTGGTTTACTTTCAGCCTCTTTGCTACAATGGGCATCATTCCCACCTGTTTTCTGGCTATATTGTTTCCAAGAACAAACTGTATTCCAGGGATAGCCACTCCATCATTTCCACTATCACTTCCCCAGTCTTGATTGGACTTTCTATCCTTATCTTATAACACGGGATCACTGAATCTCTCTCCATTTATTCCACAATTTACCACTCTGTCAGGCAACATTTCAGAAGGAGTGCAAATGCCATCCTCTCTCTGTATTAGAGAACGACCAGCTCCTGTATCTCTCAATATTTTAACTTCTTTACCTACTCCCCGTGTTCTACCTGAGTAAACCTTACCTGCAGAGGTGAAGTCTTTGAAGAGATCCGGCGCTATCTTACTATCCAGCCCATGACTAGGCTGTGCCCTCTCCTGCAGCTCCTTGACTTCTGTTGGGATTTCCTTCACGACCTCAACTAATCTCACTGGTTTAGCCTGTTTCACCACAACCTTTTTCCCAGTGCCTCTCCTAAACCACCAGCACTGTGACTTTGTGTGTCTTACCTTATTGCAGTGAAAACACCTGAGGTTTTTCATCTCTTTTCCACCCTCTTGGGCTTTTTTTTTTTCACATGCGGTGAACTATTCCCATTGGATCTACTTTTTGTTTTTCTTTGAAGGTTCTCTGTCTTTTCCAATTTCTATCCCTTATGGGGATGAAATTGCAGTTGGAAGCTAAATTTCGATTTATGCGATAATGCGTATTCATACGCCATCTCTCCAGCTGTTCTCACTTTTAACTTTCTGTTCCTCAACATGAGTTCTTATCACTTCTGGAAGTGAGTTTTTGAATTCCTCCAGCAGAGTAACAACTTAGAGATTTTTTTTCTACCTTTAATGCTCTCACTCATCTATCAGAGTAGTTCTGTTTAAGTCTTTCAAACTTGATATAAGTCTGACCTGGTTCCTTTCTTATTTTTCTGAACCATTGTCAATATGCTTCTGGTACCAATTCGTAGGCAATCGAAATAGCCTGTTTTACTTCTTCATAGTCTCCTGACACCTTCTGTGACAGCGCTGCAAACACCTCACTAGTCATGCTTACCAACTTGGCCTGAATTAATGTTACCCACACAGTCTCTGGCCAGTTCACCTGTTTAGCTAATTTCTCAAAGGAATTGAAAAAGGATTCTACGCCTTTTTCATCAAATTTTAATAATGTTTTGACATATTTGTATGTATCTGTACCAGGTTTTTGGCTACGATGGGTTTGCTCATCATCACCCTCCTCCTCACTAAGCCTATCTTCTACCTTCATTTCCATCATTTTAAGTCCGCTGTCCTGACTAATTTCCAACTTCTGAAGTTAGAACCCTCTCTTTTTTTCCCTTTCATCTCAGTCTTTTTTTTCCCTTTCATCTCTCTTTTTCCCTTTCTTCCCTCTCTTTTTTTCCTTTCTTCCCTTTTTTTTGGTCTTTCCTCTGCTTGTAGCCATGATTCAAACAGTTCCCTTTCCTGTTTAAGCTGCTTCAATTGCAATTGAATTTTAGCCATTTCCAAAGATTCTGATAGCATTTCCAGCCAATTTAAATGTCAAGCTATTGCTGCAATTACCTCTTTTCTGACAGTCAAAGGCAACCTCAACTCCAGCTTATCTGACAATTTCAGCAGCTATTCATTGCTCACCTTTAGTAAAACCCCAAAGTTACTTCTTTGACCCTCAGAAAACTCAATGACTGGAAGAGCTGTACCTCACTTTTGATTTAACCAAGAACAAGCAACCTAAATTACACAGATTTTCCATTTATCACCTACATTTTATTTAAAGATTTAGGACTCTAGTTCCCAAGTCCGTTTAAATCTGCTGGGACTTTAAGCACCCTAAATCTGTTCAAATCTGTCTAGATCTCCCCGGATATGTCCAAATCCATCCAAATCTTGGATGAGCCCCCAATCTATTATAAAGTGGAGATCAATTCCCCTCTGATAACTAACACCCAGCGAGGCTCGCCTCACCCTATAATCTATTAAAAGAAGTGTGAAAAGTGGTATAACCTGCCTGTCACCCCCAATCTGTTTTAAGGGTGTTGTTAAATGAAATAAACACCTGACACTCACTCTACAATCAACATGTAACAATTTATTTATCTAAGTCTAACAGTGAACAAATTATTAACAACTGAACAATTCCCCTCTAACTACTAACTATTCCTGAATAATAAGGTATGCTGTTCAAATAGGTAAAAGTCCCACTTATATAAAATAAAATTTAAAAAAATTAGAACTTAGTCTTTCGACATTACAGCCAGTTTATATCTACCAAAATGTTCTGTGTCTTCTCCATTGACCTTTTGTCAGGAACGCCTTCACCGTCAAATTCTTTTGTCAGGAACGCCTTCTCTGTTGAATTCTTCAATTTGGAATATTAACTAAGAATGCCGTGGAACCTTTATTTTGATGATGCTTTCGCTAAGAACTGAGAGAGCTAATCCCTTGGCAGATAGCAGTTCGTTCTCTGCCGATTTTACAACTGTCCCCGTCTTCTATACCCTTGATGACATATCCATTTCTCACAATAGGATTGGTTCTGTTTGGTCAAAATCATCAGATTTAAATTTAATTGGTTTTTAGTATCTAAGTGCCTGGTTTAAATTAATTGGCTAAATCAAAATTTGTTGTCTTGAAAACAAAGTAAAACTTGGCCTGCTAGCCATCCAGCCTTTTGATACAAATGTTACAATTCAGGTGCTCTGTGCACCTGCAGTCTCACAAGCTACCCAAAGACTTTTGTTTTAATCTCCAGCCTTGAAAAAGACCATCATCTTTTTAAAAGGACTATGCGCTGCTTTCCCCTCTATCATTTTATAAACATCAATATTTTACAAACATCAAATTCTAACATCCTCTCTTCCAATCCACAAGTACTCTAACCAACTTCGCAACAAATTTGAAATTATTCTAGGCAAAGAACAAGACATCAAAAGGGATACTTTATCATTTCCTATTTGCTGGTTCATATGCAACAAGTTGTGCAGTACATGCAACAACTTGGGTATAAAGAAGACTAATATACAATAGCAGCCTTCTCCAGGAAAGCCCTCAAACTTAAAGTTTCAATTCATGACCAGCACTTACAAGCAGTGGAAATGGTCAATTATGTCGGCAGCATGCCCTATTGGGACGTGTATAATAACTGGACACAATTCAACATTTACCAAAGCAAGTGTAGCCTTTGGCAGACTTTGAGCAACAGGTTTTGAGTGAAGATAAGGAAATCTGCCTATTGAAATTAAAGTCCGTAGAGCAATAGTCCTGAACGTTCCTATGCTTGTGCAATTGGCATGGTGCTGCACACTCAGTCCAAGAAACCTGATCGCTTTCACTTGAGCTGCCTTCAGTCACTCTGACAATCAGATGGCAGGTCAAATTATCAGATGCTGAAGTGCTCACTTGAGCTGGCGTGCCATGCATCCTCACTATATTGAGACAGTTACAATTAGTTGGGCTGGTCATGTAGTTAGAATGCTTGATTCTCTTACCAGACCAAATCCTCTATTCACAGCTTGAGGCTGGGGTGCCTTGACATGGTGAACAAAGGAAGCAGTATAGGACAATCTGAAGGCTTCACTTAAGAGTTTTGGAGTTGACTTGAACTCCTGAGAGAAGTTTGTGCAGGTTTACTGCAACTGGTACAGCCAATTTAATAAAACTGATCAGCCGCTTTTGAAAGCGAGGGGAATTCCCAAGACAGTACACAGTTCTTTTTCTGTATAAAGCCCAGCATGTGGAGATTTACATCCCGACCAAGATGACCAGAGGTTACAAATGTTTTGTGTACTTTCTTCATTGTAGTTTTACACTGAAGTGATACAGAAATCCTTATTTGCTCCAATATGAGCCTACTTAGAGTTACCAATTTTAATGTCTGTGCCTACATATACCATGAAGCTCAATTTTTGGCTAATTCCCTGAATTTATACTGATTTGTGCTGCTGATTTTTTTTGTTCTGACTAATTAATTTTTATGAACTAAGATTTGTATGATCATTAGGAAGAGACAAATGGAGTTGGAATCAGAGGTCCACACTCTTCAAAAGGCCAACCAGCATCTAGAAAATATTTTGGAGGCGACTAAAGCTCTCACACGTCAGGAAGTCTCCCAGCTAAATAAGATGCATGTTGAAACAATCAAGGTAATATTTATTGGCATACTCCATTACTAAAATAATGAGGAGATTTTAAACACTACAAATACAGCTGCGGTTTGTTGAAAAATAATTGATTTCAATGGAGACTTGAATTCTCAGGGCTTTACTCCATCATCCATTTGCACAAATTTAGCAAAAAAGGCTTTATTTTTATTGATTGTAGAATTTAATATCTTGCTCCAAAAATCAAGGAGATTTACAATGGAAGCAAATTGTGTCCATTGTTGCTATAGTTAATGCTGATGAGAAAATTATCCTTGTGACATGAACTAATGCTGTCATTTATTGGTGAGTCAGTGAATGCACCAGAGCACCATGTCATTCAAAGTTTGTTTGTGTAAATGCTGTTTGCTTTATTAAGAAAAATTGTTTCTGGTCAGGCTTTGAAAACCTCTGGGATATTTTGTTTAGGCTGAAGAATTTAGAAGTAAAATGAATCAATGAGGATAATGATTGCAGTGAAATTTCCTGCCAGCGTTTGTTGCTTATCCCTAGTTGCTTTGGGGCTGCCTTAAACCACTGCTGTCTGTAGTTCTGAAGAGGGATTGGAGAGACTGGGGTTATTTTTCTTGCAACAGAGGAGACTGAGGAGGGGATATGATTGAGATGTATAAAATTGAGGGGCATAGATAGGATAGCCAGGAAGGAATTTTCTTCTTGATGGGAGGGGTCTATGACTGGGGGCATAGATTCGAAGTAAAGGGAATGTGAGGGAAAAATGTTTTCGCTCGGCATGTTAGGAATCTGGAACTCACTGTCAGCAAGGGTGGTAGAGGCAGAAACCCTTATAGCATTTAAGAAGTATTTAGATGTGCACTTACAATGCCAAGGCATGCAAAGCTCTGGAATAAGTGTTGGAAAATGAATTAGAATAGTTAGGGGGTAGTTTTTGACCAGCACAGGTTCCTTTTTCTGTAGATCACTATGACTTTGTGTGGTGAACGTAAACCCACAGTATTATTATCTGGGAATTCTAACTCGGCAGGATGAGGATTTTCAATGTATCCAAGTCATCATGGTGTGTGATTTGTTGATATCCCTTAATTTATTTTTAAGAGCCTTTGTATAGCAAAACAAAATACATCTAGTTTCTACGACTAGAATAATGTTTTTTTGAACTGCTGTAGCTGTTTCTCTTTTCCCATTTACTGCCCCATTGTGCTTAGATCTGGATTAAATAGTGGTGTTTACTGATACAAGGTTAAATTCTAATACCTATTTCATGTCTAATTAGAATTTGACCACACCAACAAAGTCTATTTACAATCTACGATCTCGAATGATTCTACGAATGAGTCCCGAAGGAACGCCTGGTCTCTGCGCAGAAATGGAGCCAGAGACTCCAGAAGGTGATATAATGAATGAGACTTTGCCACCTGAAATGAATGAACAGGCTTATGAAGCGATTGCTGAAGAGCTTCGAATGGTCCAAGTTAGTGTTTTTTTGACAGTTGGATGACTCCGATGAAAATTTCCATGCCTTGGCCAAAACACACTACATCATTTTGTATTGGAAAGTTTTTTCTTTGTTAATAACTTCTGATGCTTATTGCAGTTCAGTCTTTGCTTGTATTCAAATAACTTGTTTTATGTGATGTGTTTATATATTTAAAGTGATTGTGTAGGATAGAAAACGTGGCATTGTTGTAAGTGGATATGAATTTACATTAATATTTTGCTTGAATACATTCTGGTTTATCCCCAATAAATAAAAGCAACGTTTTGAAGTGCAGTAATTTTTTTAAGGAGGTAACAGTGCAAAAAAAAAATTGTACAGCCAAGTAAAGACACCCCCCTCCCAAAAAAAAAGCAAGTGAGGAATAATCAGTCAATCAGTGTTTGATGACATGGACTTGGGGATAAATGTTGGACATGGCACCAGGCAAAACTCCTGCTTTTCAAATAGGGCCATGATATGCAGAGGCTTTGTTTAATGTCTTGGCTGAATGCTGTCTCTTCCAGCAGTACAGCAGTCTTTAGGTACTGCTGTAATCTTAGATTATATGTTGAAGGCATAAAGTAGAGCTTTGTTACAAAATCTTTTTCCCTCAGGGAATGAAAAATAAGTGAATGCTGAATGCATCCTCAAAGAAATAAATTGATCTTGCAAAACAACTGTTTGCTAGCAGTTCTTTGAAATATTTTAGTGCTGTTCCCAGAAAATAATTGGGGCATTGTGGGCTTCATGGATTAGAAGATCTGGCACCAGCAACCAATATGAATCCTTTTTGATTAGAATCCTGCCTACTCTGCTAATTGCATTGTTATCTCACTGGCAGAATAAATTCGTATTGTGTACACTGGTGTCTCCTTTGACGGTTGATGAGCACAGGTTGATTAAAATGGTGTTGCGTTTCTGTCTCGCATTATCACGGAATTTTACGAGGACATCTTGATACAAGTGTTGAGAATGACAAAAGCTTTTAATAAGTTAAATTAGACACTTGCTCTCATTGAGAGTTAGAATGCCACACTAGTAGTAGTAGTGGAAGTGAAATCCATATATTTACAAAGGGAAGAGAATAAGTATATTAAAAAATAAACATTTTGAAAAGTTGGAGGAATAGTACTAAGTTAAGTGACTGTGTGATCGTTAAAGGCATTCATAGCTGTAGTATCTGCTTATTGCAGCGTGAAATTGACACTGACTGACTAATGTCACCTTTGAATTGAAGTACTTTGGAGTGATTTACACTTTCGCAGCAATAATTGAAGAAGAGTACTGTGGAGAGACTCATTGGTATTCTCTTTGTTTTGCATTACCTGCCTATTTAAGTTTTCCAGAAGAATTTAGTATCATCTTTATTTTAAAATGTGGCCTGAGTCTGCCTGGTTGAATGCCATCTTCTGTGCAGATCATCCTATTCTAAGTGTGCTGTGTTATTTGAAAATTAACTTCTAAAAAATATATACATGTTTTCATTTATGCTAGAAATGGTTAAATATGTCAGCAAACTAAAACTGGTTTTGGTTTTATAGGAGCAGTTGTCTAATCTCCAGACTAAGCTAGATGAAGCAGAGAGCAAAAATGTAAAACTTCAACAGAACATTGACAAACTGGAACATCATTCTGCTCAAATGAATGAGGTAGATTTTTTTTAGACACCCGTAAATCTTGCAGTTCTTTTGTGTCTGTTTGTCCCCAATAACTACTTCATTTAAACTTGCAAGTATGTATTCGTTCATGAGAAGTATGAAAAATGCAATTTTTCTTTTACAGAGCAGAAAAATCTGTTTTTACTGTTCTCCCTTTATCCTTGCTGCCCATCTAATAGTTCTCCCACCCCTGTCCATTGCCTTTCTGTCCTTGTCATCTTCCATAATCTCTCTAATTCATATAATCTTGGTCACTGATGAGAAATGCAAAACTCTATTTCTTTGTATTCCTCACCATCCACATTTCCCTGCCATCTTCTAATCCCAGTTCCTCCATATACTTCAGCTGTTAAACTCTCCCAGCTACAGTGCTGCCAAATCTGGTACTCTTATTCATCCTTGTGTTTTTTCTATCACGGCCCCAGCTCTGTTTCTTCAAGCTCAACAGACGCAAACTTAAGTGATTTAAAGAGGCGAACCTAGTCTAGTCATTAATTTGCCAGATCTAATTAGATAACCCCAATTTTCTTCAGCCTTGCTGTACTTTGGTAAATTGAGGATTACCTTGGCAAGCAACTGCAACCCCTGACGTTTTTTCCACTACCAGCTACAATACGTCTGTTCCCTTTCCCCCATTCCTTGCAAAGGAGTGAGGAGTTCATTGTCACCAATTTTGAATGAAGTCCTTGTTCTTTTTAGTATGCACTTTTTTGTTTGCATTAAATGCACATGTCACTGCTGATATGAGTAAGTATACAATTCAAGTCCCAACTGCTCCAGAAGTGTGTAATAAACATCAGAACAAGTTGATTTAGAAAATATCTATAATTCTAGTTTTAAGGTACATTAATAACATATGTAATATTTTATTTGACCAAATGCTCTTAGCTCATCATATCTGAACGGAATGATAGAAACAAGGACCAACAGAAGCTGATTATGAAGAATGCATTTTTTGAGAAAGAGCTGCACGATTGTCAGAATAAAAATGAGAGTAAGTGAAATACATGCTTAAATTATTGCATTAGCGTAATGCATTGTGTATTTTTTTTTATTTCTGCTGTAGATTATAAACTCTGGATCATGTGTTAGCTTTAGTCAGTGCTCTGGTGTCCCATAGTTGAGCTAAATTTTAAGATGCCCAAGGTAATAGGGTAGTCATTATTCTAATGGGTGCATGAATTCAGTGCTATCTTGGCTTGATCTGAATTGTAGTTGAAATAATACTGCAGCCTGCTGCTGGCCAAACAGTATTTAAACCACCAATTTATATAGAATGTACAGCACAGAAACAGACCATTTGGCCCAAACACAGAAAGTCCTAGAGATATGCTGACACTTCCCTCTCCTCCCTTGATTTCTCTGTTTCTGTTTCTGGAGAATAGCCTGCCCAGCCACAACCATTACAATCCTGCCAACTCATAGCATCTCTTTTCCTTGCTTCTCCTCCATCAAAAGTATACAAATCACCACTTACCAACCCTTTCCAGATTTGAAGAAGAGTCATATTGGACTTGAACTATTAACTCTGTTTTTCTCTACACCAATTCTGCCAGACTTGCTGAGTTACTCCAGCATTACCTGTGTTTTTTTCAGATTTCCAGCATCTGCAATATTTTGGTCCATTTGGTGCAATTCTGTACTTGTGCTGCATGTGAGCCTTCAGCTACTATGTTCATGCTACTTCGTCTCACATTGTCAACATATTCCTGCTTAACGATCTTGCATTTATACATCACTCCTGTTCCAATTTGCAACTACATGTTAGAACTGAATTTCTACCATGTCAACCTTTTGTGTGATTTCCAGAATGGAGTGTACTTGGGGTTTAACCTGATTCCTACTCAGAAATATCTATCTGAACAGTACCATCACTTGAAGACTCTTAGAACATAAGTAACATCTGACATTGTATTCTAAGGCTGCAACATACCTTGCATTCAGTGTTTTGGCTATTCGTCCTACCATTCTGTTTTTAATTGCTTTTATACATCGTTCAGTTGAGTGTACTGCATCTTCTGTTGTTCCCGTTTTTCTCTAAACATTCCCACATGCTAATTCATTATTTTGCTCATTCTTTCTTCCAACATGTTGTACTTGCATTTGTCAGTACTAATTTTACTTTGCCATTTATTGCCAAATTTCATCGCCGGTTTAAATTTTTATGTATAACCTTTTGACTGACCTCTCCCCAACTTGGTTAGTTATTTATCCAATGAATTCTTTAATGTTTTGTTGTTTGTGATTTGTTAATTACTTCTTTGCACTTATTTTTCCTTTCTAGTCAGTTTTTAATCTGTTTCATCCTCTTTCCTGGTTTGTGCTACTATATAATTTTTCAATTTTGAACGAAATCATGTAGTGAAAACAGTATTTTGGATCTTGCCATTTGTGTGGTTTTTAAGCAGTTCATACATGTATGGAAAAAGCTTAGGGACCAGATATTTACTGATTAGACTTGTGACAAAATTCAGTGAGGTTACACTTCCCTTGGGAAAGTTAATTCATCGTGGAGTTATAAGGCTAGTAATTTGACCTGTACTCGCATTGAGTTTGGTTTTCTATTGAACTCACCCTACTTATCTTTTTGAAAGCTTGATCTATTAAATACTGAATCTTCCAATTTAGGCCATGAACCTTGCCATTGCAAACAGTTATTGAATTGGCCTGCTTTCTTGCAGTCACCTCTTTTTTAATGGTTTTTGTTTGTTAATATCCAAATATATGATAGCTGACTCTAAAAGTTGTGAATTAATGATGGCAGTTACTTTTTGTTTTGACAGTATTACAGAGTGAAGTAAACGACTTGCGTGTTGTGCTGCATTCAGCTGACAAAGAGCTTACCAATGTAAAGGAAGAATATAGCTCCTACAAAATTAAACAAGATGCAGAGCATAGTCATCTTTCTGAGCAGTTCATAAATGTCCAGTTACAGCTGGATAACATCAGGTATGGTTAATGCCATGTCTACTAATCTGGCTTTTTTTAAAAATAAACTATTTGTTAACTGTACTGGCTGGATCTTGTGATCAGTTTCACTCCAGGTAAGCAGCAAGCACTGTCATTTCATTGCTGACCAGAAAATTCAGCTATTTCTGTGACATGGATTATACTTCCAACATTGATTTTGAATCTTCTGCTGCAAGGGGCCTAGCAACAGTGATGTGATCAAGCAGGATTAGCAACTACTTGCAGCAAATCACGAAGTAAAATGCATTGATCATCCTTCACCTCTTTTACTCAGATTTGCAAAAAGCAGAATAAATGTTTTGGAGTTACACATTAGAAGCTTTTTAGTACCATTTTCTAAAAGAATTATAGCTACAAAGCTTTGAAATTTTATCAGAAAAGAAATATTTGATATCACACAAATGATATAATAATTTTTCCAGGGCTAGGTAGATTCTTAGTAGCAAGTGTGACATGGTACGTCATTTAAAAGCTAGCTACTCCCCACTAAGAACTATGCAAGTCCATTTGAATGCCTCCAATCAATCTTCTCCTCTGCCCCCCTTCCCAAACCCCTACCTGCTGGAGACTTTTATATAGATAATTGCTTTGTAGTACATAAGTAAAACATTGCTAAAAGTTGAAACTTTTTGTCTTGCACTTGTCAGAGGTCAAATGGAAAAAAATAGATTTTAATAAAGGGACACTGTTTTATATAATACAAACGGAGTGTGCTGATTGGTTGGGGCAAGACTGACAGGTGACTATTCTTGCTTTATCTTAATGCCAATGATGGCCCAACCAATCAGCAACTTTTATTTGGCTGATCACACCATTCTCATTGAACACCTCTCCACCATCATCTAGGTCCTAGTTCATCGCATCGATTTGTAGCTGGAGAAGCACTTGCAATGGCTCCTCTTCCTTCTTCCACAAAGTCAGAAGTCACATGACACCAGGTTATAGTCCAACAGATTTATTTGAAATCACAAGATCTTTTGATCGCTCTGCCCTTGATCTCTTTGCCTATAAATTCTGTCTCTGTGTGCTCTTCTCTCTCTCTCCTCCTGATGAAGAGGCTGTGCTCTGAAAGTTTGTGATTTCAAATAAACTTGTTGGGCTATAACCTGGTGTTGTGTAATTTCTGACTTTGTGCACCCCAGTCCAAAACCTGCAAGTCCACATCATTCTTCCACAGAGTTAGCTGTAGTGTCCCTAAGGATCTATCCTTGGCCGCCTCTTATTCCTCATCTTTGTTGCTCCCCAGCAACATCACACAAATACACATCTGATTCCAGATGTACATTAATGAGATCAATGTCTATGTCACCGTCACCTCTGTTGACACCTCCACTGTCTCCAAATTGTTGGACTGCTGGTCTGACATGCAGTACTACCTCAATTTAAATTTTGAGAAGATTAAAACCATGTTTTCAGTACCTACCACATCTCCACTCTTAAGCTTTCAATTCTGTCCCTCTTCATGGCCGAGTTGACATTAGAACCTGGAATGAGGTTACATGCTCACCACTAAAATAACCTGCATCTGCCTTCGTAATATTGGTTGATTTCATCCTTGCCACACTGCATCAACTGCTGAAACTCTAACTTATCCCTAGACTTTACTATTCCAATCCCAGACTTCCACTGTCTATTTTCTGTAATCATGAGGTCGTCTAAAACTTGCTTACCCTAATTTGCACCAAGTCACCCATAACCGCTCTCCTGATTAATTAATGCTTTGATTTTAAAGAAAGGGCCGGATAGGCTGGGGCTTTTTTCATTGGCACGTAGGAGGTTGAGAGGTGATGTTATAGAGGTTTATAAAATTATAAGAGGTCTATGTAGGGTTAATGGTAGGTGCCTTTTCCCTAGGATGGGAGATTTCAAGAGTGGGGGGCACATTCTTAAGGTGAGAGGAGAGAGATTTAAAAAAGATATGAGAAACAAATTTTTTACACAGAGGGTAGTTTGTGTGTGGAATGAACTTCCTGAGGAAGTTGTAGACATGGGCACAGTTACAGTATTTAAAAAAATTCTCATCCTTATTTTCAGATTCCTCTGTGACCTCACCCTCTATCTCTGAACAACTCGCATGAGCAACATGATTTTAATTGCTGCCTATTAGTGGCAATGTCTTCAATTATCAAAACCCCAAACTCTGATATTCCCTGTCTGAACACCTCAGCTGGTCTATCTCTCTTTCTTCTTTAAAGGTGCTCCATAAAAACTAATTCTTTGACATAGCTTTTGATCGTCTCTCCTAATAACCTCTTATGTAGCTCAATGACCTAAGGAACCTGTAAAATGCATAAGGTCTTTACTACATTAAAGGAGCTATATAAATACAGTTGTCGATGAAATGTAACTTTTTCAGTGGTTTTTAGTTGTATTACAGTGTGAAAGGTAAGATTCCCAGTTCAGTGATTTATAATTGCTTGCAAGTCTGCAAGGATCTTAACTATGTACTCTGTGGAGAAGTCTAGAATTGTCTGATAGCAACTTCTGGATTTCCACATTTAACTGCACAATGGACTTCAGATAGCTGTTAGTTTCAAAAGAGTAATGCCTAAGGGCTGACAGTTTCATTGTCGTTACTGCTGCAAAATACAGGCCATGGAGTTGAATAGAAGAGCTTTATTTTGTAATCTTTAGTGGTGTGGTGATTGTACTAAATAAGGTTCTTATCTAATAAACACCTTTTGATACTAGGCTGGAATATGAGAGAGTCCTGGAAGAGAAGAGGTCGCTCCAAGACTCTTACGATAATCTACAGGAAGTTATGGAGTTTAAAGCATATGAAACTGACCATCTGCATGAGAATCTAGAACAGATGAAGGTAGAAAATGAAGAGTTACGAACGGAAATTTGTGTAAGTAAAGGAGAGACTTAAATGCATGTAAATTATGTGTACAAAGAATGATTGTAGTTGACCTAATTTTTGCTTGTGTGGAGGAGGACATTTAACCACTAGGTTCATTTGACAAAAGCGTTCAGGGAGGATAGAGTTTTTCTTTCCAGCATGTTGTTGACCATAACACATGAAGCCAGGAGTCTTTGAGAACGAAGAAAAGGTAGTTTCTAATTAAGTGATACACTGAATTTAATGCTTCATTGTTTCAGTATTGCAATCTGTTTTATTGAAGGGCAGCTTAAGTTTTAAGCTCTGATTTGGAGCATCTTAACATACCCTCAGATCTGTCTTAAAGAAGAGTTTAGACATTAGTGATAAGGATCTTCCCTCAGTCATCTGCCCAAAATTTCCAATTGTCTTGTGTAGAATCTAAATTTGGTTTCAAGTAAACATGATTTTCAGCATAGAACTTAGTTAGCATTGGATGAGAGTGTTTTTAATTCCCTTTTTGACACTTCTTAAGAGCTGTAGGTTTGCACTGGAACTAATACATATATGTATATAATTCCAGTGAGGAACGTAGTTTTGTTTTGTAGTGCATGATTTAATTAAAAATTATTGTTCTTTACACAGTTTATACATAGAAAGCAAAAGATGAATCTTAATTGATTAATAGTAACTCATATGGAAAATGATTGTTGATTTCTCCCATTGTGCTATCAGCAGCTGTTGTCAGCTATTCCCACTCAACTAAACATGTGCAACATGGAAATGAATCTATATCTAATTATCCATACCATCCATATACAATGTGTTTTAAAACTCTACTTGGAAACGTATATGAATTGTTCCCTTTTACCTGATGCATATTGGAATTAATTTTAAATTTTCTCCTTACTTTTCTTTTGCATTAAATGTAGTCTTTAATGGAGCATTTAGAGACTGAAAAAGAACGAACTCAAAAACTTGCTTCACAGCTTCAACAGGACATTGAAAACAACTCCAAGTAAGTTTTTTTGACATCTCGGTGTACAGACTGCAAGCTATAAAGAAAAATCTTTTCTACTGGCATTTTGTTTTATGTTCAATTATTATTTTTTAAAATGTGCCCAAGCTGCAAATGATTTTATTGGAATATGCAGGCCCTCACAAAACTGCAGAATCCAATGCAGGATTGGTATGGTATCTGTAGATCTGGCAGTTCATTTTTTAGTTGTTGGTGCTCAGGGGAGTTTCTGCTGCTGCAGCAGCTTCCTTTGATTTGGATATTGCAAGTTTTACTAAGAAGGTCCTCAACTTGCTGAACTAAATTTCTGAACTTATCCTCGTGTGGGCTGGTTGGTCATAGCATTTTCCCAAGCAAGGCAATCTTTAATGCAGAAATTTGAGACTTTTTTTTTTAGGGTGTCTTTATATTGTTTGTACTGACTGAAATAACTTGACAGAGGTAGTATACTATCACCAAGTCACGCATTATTTCCACATGGTGAGCCCTTGACACTGATCCAGATCTGAGTGAATAGAACCTCTGAGACTGCTGTTTATATCGGTCAGCCAGGCCTCCTGATTTGACCAGATTAACAGCCCCAATAAGGGAATTCATTCTATGAGGTCCACCTGGCTGACTTTATTACAATCACTACACTGACAACCTTGATGTTGTTTGTTCTGAGGCAGTTATCCACCACAAATCTGCCTGGGAATTCTGTATTTATCCAAGCAAGAGACTTGAACACTTAAGAAGGACTGTAATGTTGAACTTTTAACTTTATTTCTTTATTTTTCTACTTTTTACCTAAGATTTTGTATCTAGTTACCTTTGTACCTAAGATGGCACCAGGAATGGCAACTTTGTACATTTTTCATTGTACTCATATATCCTTGTACTTCAGAACACATGACACTAAAACCTAATTCTAATTCTAACTGACCTGCATATATAAATTGAACTTCGTGGATTATAATCCCATGCTTTTGAGCCCTGCATGATAGAAAACCTTGTGGTTTATGATTTTGTTCTGCTTTTGAATTTTGGTATTTTTTGGAAGTGTTCCAGAGCTTTGTGCTTAGAACAGATCCAGGATTCTGTACCATCCAGATGTCTAAAACAGCATGGCATTAAGCATGCATTTCTCTATTTAAAGCAAGGTTGATATGAATGTGAACCACAAAGAATGCAGTTAGTTGCTTAGCTTGTGCAACTGTTGGCTTTGCTCTTAGCCCGTGTGTTCTTCAGACGTGGAATTCACATTTTCCAATGCAGCCTCCTCTTTCTAAAGTCTATTGGGTTGTAGAAAATTGGAAAAGAGCAAAGATTTGGTACTTTCACTATGCATTTCTATTACATAATTACTTCTGACAACTTATTAACATCAAGCTACATCTCTGTCTGACTTTGATAACATACTGAGATATAAATAAATATTTAATGCATTTCTAATGGATACTTGTACATAGATGGTGCTGGAGAAGCTATTTTAATCAGGTTATTAAGAGTTATATTAAATATTTTACTTCTTTCAGTAAAGATATTAATGTTTGTATTTTTATTGTTTTGACAATAGCTGTTCTGAACTGCAACTTTGTTTATTTTTCATCAACTTGTTCATGTACCTTTATGCAGGGAGCTTTTGAAGGCCTTGGATGAAAAAGATCTGCTGAAGCAACAGTTTTCTGGTCTAATGTTGAAGACTGAACATCAGGTATATATGATTCTAAGAAGATCTGAATAGAAACTGAGCATACCCTTTTTTATTTAATATAATCAGTTTCTTTCACGTTTGTGGGTTCAATATCCCAGTGGTTTGCTCCTGTAGTATTGTGTAACTTAATCTTCTGAGTTTGGCTTATTGCTTCCACATGCCCTGCCTTCCTTTCCAGCAACTTGACTACAATCATTGCAGAATCCTATTATCTAGGATAAACTGAATATTAAGCCTACAATCTCTACAGTATTCAGATTCCTACTAGTTAAAACACAGGGAAGCAATTTTCTTTCTTGTGACATTTACTGGCTGGGGGAAAATACAGCCTTTGAGCATAAATGGACACAGTTCTTGCTCAAAGATGGTCATTGTAAAATGGAAACAAATTGAGAAAAGCAGAGATCACTTTCCCAGCCATTTCAGTCAATTGACAAGATTTGCAATTCAAGGATAAAAGGAAAACCAGGCAACCAGGATTGTTTAAATGATTTTTGAAAGTCTTCTTGCTGATGTGGCTGTGTCTGGCATGAGCAAATACCTAAAACCAAAGTTAGAATGATCCTTGGGAACTTTTGACTGAATCCAAAAATACTCCTGGATTATGCCATCTGAGTGTTTTTCTTACAAAGATCTTTTTCAATTCATTACTGGTGATTGTTATTTCCTGATGTAACCTAATGTATGCCTAGTAAGTTGTAACGTACTAACTCAGAAGTTAACTCTTGGACCTTTCTAAAGTTGCCCTTCTATCCTAACCTTAGCCGTAGATTTATAATAATTACAAATTTCTCTAGATATTTGTTTGTCCCACTTGTATGCACCCTCTTCCCTGGAGGGATAGAACCTTGGGTGCATCTGCAGTGCTGTGCTTTGTGCTTCACCTGAAGTTTCATTTGGTTATATTCCTTCTTTCCCAAGGTTTCTGCCTTGACTTCTGCTCATGTTTTGAGAGGGCAGGGAAGCCTGAACTGGGTGGTGTTTAAGCTCATTTTGGTTATTGTCAAAAACCTGCATTTTTTAAAATTTAAAATATTGAGAAATTCCCAAGAGCAAAATGGTGAGCTTTCCCTTCCTGTTAGGCTGGCAAGTTTAGCCAGTGAGCGTTGCAAACTTGATTTCAGCTTATTTTTCTTATTTAAGCCAGGGTTGCAGCAGAGGCATTGAAAAAGTTCTTTTAGTGGACCATTTAGAATGTTCCGTTGGTGTGAAGATTTTTGTATGTTTATTGAACAGTGTTATACTGTGGGAAGCGAGGGAAGAGATTGTGGGCCCCTTGCTGAGATATTTGTATCATCGACAGCCACAGGTGAGGTGCCAGAAGACTGGAGGTTTGCTAACGTTGTGCCACTATTTACGAAAGGTGGTAAGGAAAAGCCAGGGAACCAAAGACCAGTGAGCCTGACATGGGTGGTGGGCAAGTTGTCGGAGGGAATCCTAGGAGACAGGATTTACATGTATTTGGAAAGGCAAGGATTGATTAGGGATAGTCAACATGGCTGTGTGCGGGGAAAATTATGTCTCACAAACATGATTGAGTTTTTTGAAGAAGTAACGAAGAGGTTTGATGAGGGCAGAGCGGTGGATATGGGCTTCGGTAAGGTGTTCAACAAGGTTCTTCATGGTAGGCTGGTTAGGAAGGTTTGATCACACGGAGTGTTGCTGAGCAAAGAGACCTTGGACTGCAGGTTCATAGTTCCTTGAAAGTGGAGTTGCAGGTAGGTAGGATAGTGAAGGTGGTGTTTGGTATGCTTGCCTTTATTGGTCACCGAGTTGAGTATAGGAGTTGGGAGGTCGTGTTGCGGCTGTACAGGACATTGGTTCGGCCAATTCTCCCTGCTGTAGGAAGGATGTTGTGAAACTGGAAAGGGTTCAGAAAAGATTTATAAGGATGTTGCCAAGGTTGGAAGGTTTGAACTCTGGGGAGAGGCTGAATAGGCTGGAGCTATTTTCCCTGGAGTGTTGGAGGCTGAGGGGTGATCCTATAGAGGTTTATAAAACCATGAGAGGCATGATAGGGTAAATAGACATGGTCTTCTCCCCAGGGTGAGGGATTCCAAAAATAGAGGGCATAGTTTTAAGGTGAGAGGAACCTAAGAGGAAACTTTTTCATGCAGAAAGTGGTGCATATATGGAATTACCTGCCAGAGGAAGTGGTGGGGGCTAGTATGATTACAGCATTTAAAAGGCATCTGGATGGGTATGTGAATTGGAAGGTTTTAGAGGGATATGGGCCAAATGCTTCCAGATGGGACTAGATTTATATAGGATATCTGGTCGGCATGGACGAGTTGGACCAAAGGGTCTGTTACCATGCTGTATATCTCTATGACTCTCTGTTTACAATACATCAAATAAAGATTTGGCATATAAAAATCCAGAAGTGGAAACCATGTGCTTTCTGTGTTAAAATACAAATCCATTTAGTCACTTTACTTCTGCACCAAGTTAAAGACTGTTTACTCCTTAAGGAACCATAGGCATGTCAATACAACATGAGCTTTTGCAAGACAATGTTTATTTGTCTCACAACACTAGGGGGAGCATTTGTTGTATACGTGTAAATACAGCGAATATCTCTGTGATTATCATTTGCAACTAGACAGGCATCCTAAATTAAGAATTCATACTCAAACTGAAACCTGATTTAGGGAGCAAATTAAAACAGTATTATGTTAGGATTGATTGTTCTCCACAATTTTCTGTTCACTTGTCAGTCAGTATTATTAAAATTCTCATTAGAAGTACATTGAGATAATATCTGCTTTTAAAAGCAGATACTATCAAAAATATTTATTCTCTTCTACAAATTAACATAACATAACCTTCAATAAATAAACATTACTGAGTAAGAGAAGTGAGTGCCCAATGTGTGGTTTCAGACCCCATGACTTGGGCTTAATAACAACTGACTGATCTATCTGAGAATGGCTTCCACAAAGCCTTTGCCACTTGCTTTAAAAGACTTATTTAAATCTGCAATCACTACTTCCATTTTGTATATTTGCGATGCGTTGTGAATTCAACAAGTTGACCTCCAATTATAAAGTTGAAATCTGAAGTGTCATGTGTATCTGTTCCTGATGCCTTTCCAGTCGGTAGCAAGAGGTACAATACTCTTATATTTTTGAATAATTTCTTGATTTATGAACATTATGTTTTACTTTGCTTTTTAAGGCAATAGAACTGAAAAATAAGGAGCAGAGTCTGGATGATGCAAAAAAGACAATCGCTGATCTAGAGAAGAAGAATGCTGCTGACCAGGTATGAGAAGCAACCTGAAAAGTAACAGCATTTTTTTGCCTATCAATCCAAAAGGAAATCTTATGCAATGCTCCTTCTTCCCTCTGTTCATGTAATTGAAATCTGGTGAACTTTTCTCAGAAGGAAACAATGGAAATGATACACTAATTTGGCACCCATCTATTTCACAACACAATTAGTATTTATTTGAATATTGCTGAAAGAACAAACATTTTGTCAAAGCTTTTCCCCTTGCACCCGTCAGACAATTTGCAAGAATAAAACTTAAGGGGATACCATTTTCATACTCTGTGAGAGGAGAGTGGTAATTGGTTGGCAAGTAGTCCAGTTTGGGGGAGGCGATGGCCTAGTGGTATGGACTGTTAATCCAGCGACCCAGATAAAATTTTGAGGACCTGGGTTCGAATCCCGCCATGGCACATGGTGGAATTTGAACTCAATAAATATCTGGAATTAAGAGTCTAACGATGACTGTGAACCCATTGTCGATTGTCAGGAAAAAACCCATCTGGTTCACTAATGTCCTTTAGGGAAGGAAACTGCCATCCTTACCTGTTCTGACTTACATGCGACTTCAGACACACAGCAATGTGGTAGACTCTTAACTGACCTCTAGGCATTTAGGGATGGGCAATAAATGCTGCCTAACCAGTGACGCCCTCATCCTGTGAATGAATAAAGGAAGCTGCGTTGTTGAAAATGTAAACAAAACGTGGCAGTTAACTGTCAGTCATCATTAACTGATATATTCTTCTTGACAGTGCCTTTACTAAACAGAGTGCATTGCCAGCCAATCATCACTACCAAATGACAACTTAGTATTTATTTGAAGATGTTTCCGTTTAAATGTAGTGTAGCTTATGTTTTTTTTTTCCCTGTTAGTTTTCTCCTACCTTTCTGAAAACATACTTTCTGCAGTAAAAGTATATCATGGCCAGGCTTGATCCTATGCTCCAGTAATGATAACTGCAATTTCAATGAGGCTGGTGGATAATGGTCAGAGGGCCTTGCTTTTCCTTTCCACACCACCTATGGCGTGAGTTAATCCAACATAACAGAGCATTCAAGAATAGAACTTTTTCTAGCCTGTATTACTTAATTATTTGTTGGCATAATCAGCTGTACCATCGGAGTGGTTTCAGCATGGTTTCCTTGCTGTAAACTCAAAACAGTTTTGAATCTTTTTGAATAAAAAGGTTTGTTGTCCATTACTGAATCCATTACTTTTTTAAAAGAACTGATTTGCTCATGTTAATTGGTCAAGCAATTATTCCAACACAGGTCAGTTTAATTTTTAAAATCATTACTGAAAAGGATAATTATTTAACTTTACAATAGCTGTCTTGATAAGCATGAAATCTGCACAAGTATGTATAACTGAGTTGGAAGTTGTTGCAACAGATGTTCAAATTCGATGTAAACTTTTATGGGTTATTCTTTACACATCTTTGCTCGTCTTTGTATTACAGTAAACTGATCAAGGCTGCAGTTCATCACTGCTGTGGATTGCAAATGAGGATAAAATCCTACCAAGTCTCATGGCCACATTTTGTACCCAAGTTGTGAACAAAAACAGAAGTTTTCCCTCAGAACTGAAGGGTCACTGGACCCAAAATGTTAACTGATTTTTTTCTCCACAGATGCTGCCAGAATTGCTAAGCTTTTCCAGCAACTTCTGTTTTTGTTCCTGTTTTACAGCATTCGCAGTTCTTTTGATTTTTATTTTGTAGCCAAGTTGTGTCTAGGACAGTTAATTTTTCAAGTGTATTTTAAGTCCTATTAAGTTCCTTATTGTGTACTTTTGTAAAAGAAAAAGTGACAAAGAAGTGTGAAGGCAGAACAGTATGTAGATGCCAGATTTACTTCAGACTTGTGCGTAATGCTTTAAGCACCTTGGGAAGTTGTATGATGTCAAAGATGCTATGAAAATACAAGTTTTAATTGTTATAGTTATGTGGAGTAAAAAGAAGTATCTGCAGCATTGTTCAGACTACAAGTAAGCACATTGTATTCAAGCACACTCTTAGCCACTAAAATGTTTGAAGAGGATCCTTTGGGGTCTGAAATATTGTTAAGTGACCAGACCAATCTTGTTAAACCTCTCTGGGCTTTGGGTATTTCTAGCCAATAATTTTTTAAAAATCAATTTTATGACTTCAGATATTCTTTGAACAGAATTTTACATTTATAGGATATCTTGATAGATATATAGTTACTGATGTTTTTCAACTTTATTTAAAACTGCTAGTTTGTTCATCTGTGCATCAGCTACTGTAGCCTAGCCAGTTATGTAGCTGTCACTATATGCTTGGAATAAATGTATTAAAGCTTATTTTGGTGCTTTACTGGAAAATGTTGGCAGTATCATTTGGGTAACATGAAAAGTGAAATTCTCAGACTAAAATCCACAAATTTTCTTGTGCACTTCATGTACTTTGAGGATTTTTCTGGGTTTATTTTTTAAATATATCGTTTTCCCATAGTGCTACCTGCACCCAAAGCCTGAATTGGCTGAAACCAGGAAAATTGGAAAAGACCTAAGTTTGACATGTAGGAGTGAGTGTTGAAACTCCATGGTTTCTTGTTCAGTATCTAATAAGTGGTGGTAATGCTTAAAATTAAGCACTTGCAGTTGATGAGTCATCCATGAGCTATTTCTTAAATAGTAGAATTTACTAATTTCAGAATTTCTTTTTATAGGAAGTTGTAACAGTCCTGATGAATCAAATACAGGAAATGAGAAATTCATACAGTCAGAAAACAGAGACAGTATCTCTCTTGACTCAGGAATTGGAGGATATCAAGGTAAGTTACAAATTCACCCGAATCTTTCTGTCACTCTCCAGGTTTTTAGCATTATTGACAATGTAAAACTAGAGCTATAAACTGAACTCCTTTGACCTTTAACACAGTCATTAACTATACTAAGCAGCATGCCTTCGTGTTGCATTGCTGCTGCATCACTGAGATTTGGAACTGAATATTGGATGTGGATTTTAAATTTTGGCTGCAGCACACTAAGTACAATATGAAAACCAATTGATTTCGTACCAAAAATGGGTTACATGTCGACAGGATATCCCAAACCGATTTTACGCATCATCTAGGGATCATCCCGCTTTTAGATACCAGCCTGGGAAGTTGCATTTAGGTAACTGCTGTTTTCATGGGAGTTTATAGAAATCAAAGCACTATAGGGAACCAATCAGCAAATAAGCCTCGGAGATAGCAAGAACTACAGATGCTGGAGTCAGAGTCAATACAGTGTGGAGCTGGAGGAACACAGGTGGTCAGGCAGCATCAGAGGAGCAGGAAAGTCGATGTTTTGAGTTTTACACCCTTCATCGGGACCGATAAAGGGTTTAAACCCAAAATGTTGACTTTCCTGCCCCTCTGATGCTGCCTGACCACCTGTGTTCCTCCAGCAAATAAACCCCACTTCTGCTCGCTCTTCAAATTAAATTGCTATTTTTGATTTACTTTTCTCTGTGCTTTCTATATAATTCATGATGTGAAGGTACTGGTGTTGGACTGGGGTCGACAAAGTCGGAAGTCATATGACACCAGGTTACAGTCCAACAGGGTTATTTGAAATCATAAGCTTTTGAAGTGCTGCACCTTTGTCAGGTGAAGTGGAGTGAAGTGCACAGGCACAGAATTTATATGCAGAGAGATAATGACAAGATAATTCCAGGTAATTAAGAGTGTCAAAAATAAGTACATGTAGTATGAGTGGAGTGTTGACAGGCTTAATAACAAGTCCTGAAGGTGAACAAAAGTGCCAAACAGTGTGAGGTAAGTGTCAACAGCTGAATAGCAAGTGAAGGGATGACCTATGATCCAATTAATTAAGGCAGAGAGAGATAATTACAAAAAAAATCAAAAAAAAAGGTAGTGCTAGAGTCAAACCAAATGGCTGGAATAACATGATAGGTATAAGAGTTGCATGACAAGGGTCTAACCAAAGTAAAAAGAGATCCAAAACTGTACAAACTAATTAAGGTAGCGCAATAATAACAAGTTATCGAGGTGATGGTGTCAAAACAGAACAGTATAGTGGGATTACATGTAGCACATCATGACCCCAAGATCTTGGCTGAGGCTGTACCAATGTGTACAGAACTTGGCTATCAGTTGGCAAGGTTAGACCACAACGCTTATACCTATCATGTTATTCCAGCCATTTGGTTTGTCTCTAGCACCATCTTATTTTTTGTTTTTTTTTGTAATTATCTCTCTCTGCCTTAATTAATCTTTTCACTTTGCCACTCAGCTGTTGACACTTTACTCACACTGTTTGAGGCTTTTGATCACGTGCAAAGACTTGTTATTAAGCCTGTCGACACTCCACTCACATTACATGTACTTATCTTTTGACACTCCTAATTACCTGGAATTATCTTGCCATTATCTCTCTGCATATAAATTCTGTGCCTATGCGCTGACCTCCACTTCACCTGATGAAGGAGCAGCACTCCGAAAGCTTGTGATTTCAAATAAACTGTTGGACTATAACCTGGTGTCGTGTGACTTCTGACCCTATAATTTAATTCACGTTTCAAATCTGTCCAATTTTTCTATTCAGTGTAGCTGTTGTCTAACTAATCACCTAAGGGATGAATTTTATGTTCTAATAAAGTATTCTAATTTCCTTCATCATTCTTCTAGTGATCTTAACACTGTCTCCTTATTATTGATTTGCTAAACAGGTATCTTGAAAGTCGTCTGTAATATTCAAACTTTACAAACCTTTCTTCATGATAAGATTGTTAATTATTTAAGAATTTGAATGAAAGGGAATAATAAGTAATCAGTGACACTATTACGCATTGAAATCATGATTTGAATTATTGGTCCAGCACCATAGCCATTACAGTGCCAAAGTGCACCGTGACAAGTTGTACCATTCATTGTAATGTGTTTGGTAATTTATGGCTAGCAGAAGCAAATAAAGTTCTCACAAAACCTGAGATAACA